CTGCCAACGCCGTACTTCACAAGGGTAAGAGGAGGGCGGGCAGGCGGGCGCGGAGAGGACGGTGTCTGTAACGTCCAAAGCATCCTCTGTACCGTGCTCTCTGAATCATTAAAGTGGGGTTGTGATCAGAAATGCCGCTGTGTTCGGTTGTCTCCTTAATCCTGCTCTGTGTATCTCTGGTGTATCCTCTGAGTATCTCTTTGTGTATCTGCTGAGTATCCCCCAAACTTCTGCTGAGTATCCCCCCAAGCATTGGCTAAGTATTCCTGGGGTATCACTCGAGTATCAGCTAAGTATCTCCGGTGTATCCTCCGAGTATCGGATGGGTATGCCTGGAGTATCTCTAGTGTATCTGATGACTATCCTCCAAGTATCTGCTGAGTATTGCTGATGTGTGCGCTGAGTATCACTGGTGTATGCCCTGAGTATCTGCTGAGTATCGTTGGTGTGTGCCCTGAGTATCGCTGGTGTGTGCCCTGAGTATTGCTGGTGTATCTCTCGAGTATCCTTTGAGTATCTCTTGGGTATCACTTGTGTATTTCTCCCCGAGTATCATGTGAGTATCTCTTGTGTATTTCTCCCCCAAGAATTATGTGAGTATCTCTGGTGTATTTCACCTCCCTCCCTAACCCCGAGTATCATGTGAGTGTCTCTGGTGTACTTCCTCCTGCGTATCTCCGGTGCATTACTCCACCATCACACCCCTCCCCCCCTCACCTGATGGGTATCTCTGGTGTATTCCTGTCCCGAGTATCATGTGAGTATCTCTGGTGTATTCATCCTCTTGAGTATCTCTGGTACATCAGTCCCCGCTGAATATCTCCAGTGTATTTCTCCCCGAGTGTCACGGTGTATTTCTCCTCTTGAGTATCTCCAGCATATTCATCCCCCTGAGTATCTCTGGTGTATTCATCCCCCTGAGTATCACCACTTGAGTATCTCTGGAGTTTTCATCCCCCCGAGTATCTCTGGAGTTTTCATCCCCCCGAGTATCCCCTGAGTATCTTCAGAATATTCATCCCCCTGAGTATCTCTGGAGTATTCTTCCTCCTGAGTATCTCTGGAGTATTCATCCCCTGAGTATCCCCCGAGTATCTCTGGAGTATTCTTTCTCCTGAGTATCCCTTGAGTATCTCTGGAGTATTCATCCCCTGAGTATCTCTGGAGTATTCATCCCCTGAGTATCTCTGGAGTAATGTCCCTCCCCACTCGATGGTCTCTGGGCTGAGCCGACCTGACATGGAGGTTGGGGGAGATGGGGCAGGGCCCTTCTCTGCCTCTGGCGTCCGGGCTGGCTCGGCCCTGGCGGGACGGGGACACCGCCGGGCAGCCGGCCAGGCCCCCGCGCCCCGCCTGACGCCTCTCCCCCTCTCTCTGTCTCTCTGCGCCCCAGTGCTCAACCAGCTGGAGGAGCTGCTGAGCGACATGAAGGCCGACGTGACGCGCCTGCCGGCCACGCTGTCCCGCATCCCGCCCATCGCCGCCCGCCTCCAGATGTCCGAGCGCAGCATCCTTAGCCGCCTGGCCAACAAGGGCAACGAGACGCAGACCGCCCCGGTAACGCCTGGGGGGGCTTGGCCACGGCCCCGTGGGCCCCATAACGCCTGGGCCACATCCCCATGGGCCTCATAACTACTGGGGGGCGCTTGACCCTGCTCCCATGGGTACCATAATGCCTGGGGGGGGCCTGGCCACACCCCCATGGGTCTTGTAACAAATGGGGGGCCTTGGCCCTGGCCCCGCAGACCCCATAATGCCCTGATCCACCCCCCATGGGCCTTGGGGAGCTCACTGCCCCCCACCTTCTCTTCCAGGCCTTCCCACCGGGCCCATACGCCACCCCCCAGAGCTTTGGGGGCTCCTTCAGTGCCGGAGCCCTGCCCACGGGGGGGGCCAACTACAGCCACATGCCCGCCGGGTCCTTCATCACAGGTCAGCCCCCGTGGGTCCAGCGCATGGTGGTGGGGGCTGGGAGCCAGGACTCCTGGGTTCTCTCCCCAGCGCTGGGAGGGGCGTGGGGTCGGGTGGGATAGAGCAGGGGGGTCTGGGAGCCAGGACACTTGGGTTCTCTCCCCGGCTCTGGGAGGGGAGGGGAGTGGGGGCTGGTGGGTTAGAGCAGGGCGGGCTGGGAGCCTGGACTCCTGGGTTCTATCCCCGGCTCTGGGAGGGGAGTGGGGACTGGTGGTTTAGAGGGGGGGCGGGCTGGGAGCCAGGACTCCTGGGTTCTCTCCCCGGCTCTGGGAGGGGAGTGGGGGCTGGTGGGTTAGAGTGAGGGGGGCGGGAGCCAGGACACCTGGGTTCTCTCCCCGGCTCTGGGAGTGGAGTGGGGGCTGGTGGGTTAGAGCAGGGGGGGCTGGTGGGTTAGAGCAGGGGGGGCTGGGAGCCAGGACTCCTGGGTTCTCTCCCTGGTTCTAGGAGAGGAGCGGTGGCTGGTGGGTTTCTCTCTTTTCACACACCCCCTCTTCCCCGCAGCCGCCACCAACGGCCCCCCGGTGCTGGTGAAGAGGGAGCGGGACACCGACCCCCTGGAGAAGAAGGAGCCCCGGGCCGGCGAGGTGATCTGTATCGATGACTGAGGGGGACCCATCCCCTCCCGCGGGCAGGGGGCAGCCGCCTCCCCCTCTCTCTCTTTCCCCGGGGGAGGGGGGCACTAAACCTGCCTCGCCCCTGCTCTGTCCAAATGGGACCCCGCTCCCCCCCCACCTCCTGGGGGGTGGGTACGTAGCCTGGGCGGGTGACGGGGGGGGGTCCTGCGCTCAGACCCCCGCCCTACCGGCTATTCTATAAATATGAATATATATATATATATATACACACATACTGTATGGGGTGCCCCCCGCCAGCCCCCCAGGCCCTCCCCTCAGCACCCCACTGTGGGGGCAGCCCCCCCCCAGCCTGGGAAGGTCACCCCCCCATCCCAAAGCGGGGCAGGGTGGCAGTTCTACCTCGCTGCGGTCTGGCTTCGGGGGGGCTGGGTGGGTGGGAGCGCGCCGGGAGTCACTCCGGATTGTCGCCAGTTCGCATCACTTCTTGTTTAAACCGCGCGGAATAAACGCACCGTTTCCTTGGCTACGTGACCCCGCCTCCGGCTGTGTTTGGGGAGGGACGGGGGTCTCCCTACCCCCGCAGTGGGGCAGGGCCCCGTGCCCCCACAGCGGGAAGCCGCTCCCCAAAGACCTCCCCAGCCCGCCGCTCCTCTTGGCACGGCTGCATGCCCGTCCCTGCACGTCCGCCTGTCCCCACGGACCTGTCCATCCCCTCACG